AGTATTTTATATGTCGTTATCATATCTCCCTATCTCTCCTGTCCTCCAATGTCATTAGGTCGATTTCCCTTAACTTCTCCTCGTAGGACATGCCCCTTAGCTCCGGGACTAGTCTTGTCGCAAACCTTTGCACTTTCTCTAATTTCCTTACACGCTTGGCTAGGTGTGGGTTCCAAACTGGTGCTGCATACTCCAATATAGGCCTGACATACACGGTGTACAGGGTCCTGAACGATTCCTTACTGAGATGTCGGAATGCTATTCTTAGGTTTCCAAGGCGCCCATATACTGTAGCAGTTATTTGATTGATGTGCGTCTCAGGAGATGTGCCTGGTGCTATACTCACCCCAAGATCCTTTTCCTTGAGTGAGGTTTGTAGTATCTGGCCACTCTAGACTGTACTCCGTCTGCGGTCTTCTTTGCCCTTCCCCAATCTTCATGACTTTGCACTTGGTGGGGTTGAACTCCAGGAGTCAGTTTCTGGATCAGGCCTGCAGCATGTCCAGATCCCTTTGTAGTTCTGCCTGGTCCTCGTCCGATTGAATTCTTCTCATCAACTTCACATCATCCGCAAACAGGTACACTCCTGAATCTATTCCTTCCGTCATGTCGTTCACATATACAAGAAATAGCACCGGTCCTAGGACTGACCTCTGTGGAACCCCACTCGTCACAGGCGCCCACTCTGACATCTCGTTACGTACCATGACTCGCTGATATCTTCCCGATAGGCATTCCCTGATCCACTGCAGTGCCTTCCCTGTTATATCTGCCTGGTCCTCTAGCTTATGCACTAATCTCTCGTGCGTGTGTGTTTGTAAGTACTCTGAGAGTAACATCCAATGTAATTCATCTGGAGTTTCTGGACTGTTTCCATCTAGGTTCCACAATGGAGTCCCAACCACCCCTCGTTGTCCCTCCATCTAGGTCCTCTCCTGGTCCCTCCCATGCTAGAAAGACTTTGTTCTAGCTAGCGTCTCGGTCTTTCAGTGAGAGTTGGTCCCATTAGACAGCGAGATGGTCCCTACCTCAGGGAACACGGTGAGCACATAGTTCAGTGGTCCCTGGCGTATCAGACACGTATTATACATGCAACTCATACAACATATAACCGAGATTCGAGTCCAGGAGACACTTGCCTGTGTCCCAACGGTCAAAACATCGCCGCCAGCCAATCTCCGGGGATATATAGGTCAAGCTGCAAGCTTAGTTAAAGCTTCATGTATCCAGGGTACAGCATCCACAGCAGACCTGCTGGGAGACGCAACGTCCCAGAAACTGCGTGGATGTTCACAACGAACGATTCGCTCTATGAAAAAGCTAGATGAAACTGTGCAGACCGAAACGTAGACCACAAACACAGTTCTTGCTCTACAAGTGGGCCAACAAAGAATGTAGACATTTACTGTTTATGTACTGTATCTGCAGCAGCATACTGTAAATTCTTAAACAAATAAAAGGAACTTTTACAGCGGCCGAAATTTACACAATATTTTACAATTTACAATGTCAACAGATGATCACCTAGCAAGGTAATTACCTAGCAAGATTATCTAGTAATAGAATTACTAAGCAAGATAATTACCTAGTAATATAATTACTTAGCAATATATTTATTACATAGTAATTGCCCAGCAAGATTATCTAGTAATATAATTATCTAGCAATATAATTACGTAGCAAGATAATTGCCTGGCAAGTTAATTACATAGCAAGATAATAGTTCGGTAAGATAATAACTCAATGAGATAATTACCAAGCAAGATAACTGCAAATATAATTACCTAGTAGATAATTATCTAGCAAGATAATTGCTCAACATAACTACCTAGAAAGATAAATAAGATAATTGCATATGAAGTTAATTATCTAGCAAGATAATTATCTGGTAAGATAATTACCCGGTAAGATAATTACCTAACAAGATAATTATACATTAATATAATTACCCAGTAAGATAATTACATAAAAATAATTACCCAGTAAGATAATTACACATGAAGATAATTACCTAGTAAAATAATTACGTAGCAAGATAATTACCTAACAACTGACCATCCAGAAATAATTATTTCCTTGTCAAAATAATCAAGTTTCTGTCAATGTTAAGAGAATATAATTAAGGCATTTAAAATAATTACGTATCATTTTGACAGGTAATCATTCTTATACACCACATATATTATTCTTATACATCACATATATTATTCTTATACATCACATATATTATTCTTATACACCACATATATTATTCTTATACACCACATATATTATTCTTATACACCACATATATTATTCTTATACACCACATATATTATTCTTATACATCACATATATTATTCTTATACATCACATATATTATTCTTATACATCACATATATTATTCTTATACATCACATATATTATTCTTATACACCACATATATTATTCTTATACACCACATATATTATTCTTATACATCACATATATTATTCTTATACACCACATATATTATTCTTATACACCACATATATTATTCTTATACATCACATATATTATTCTTATACATCACATATATTATTCTTATACATCACATATATTATTCTTATACATCACATATATTATTCTTATACATCACATATATTATTCTTATACATCACATATATTATTCTTATACACCACATATATTATTCTTATACATCACATATATTATTCTTATACATCACATATATTATTCTTATACATCACATATATTATTCTTATACACCACATATATTATTCTTATATACACACTCATTCTCATACACATGTGCCATTCTGATACATATTTATAAATCTATATATACAGTCAATTTAAGTATTGTATACACAATCACACAATTCAAGTATTGCATATACAATCACACAATTCAAGTATTGCATATACAATCACACAATTCAAGTATTGCATATACAATCACACAATTCAAGTATTGTATACACAATCACACAATTCAAGTATTGCATATACAATCACACAATTCAAGTATTGCATATACAATCACACAATTCAAGTATTGTATACACAATCACACAACTCAAGTATTGCATATACAATCACATAATTCAAGTATTGTATAAACATTCACACAATTCAAGTACTGCATACACAATCACACAATTCGAGAATTGTATACTCAATCACGCAATTCAGGTATTGCATACACAATCACACAATTCAAGTATTGCATACACAATCACACAATTCAGGTACTGTATACACAATTACAAAAGTAAAGTATTGCATATACAATCCTATACTTCAGGCATTGTACAAAAAAATTCCCATAAATCAATTATTTAAATAATTAGGCACTAATCAGCCTATAATTAGGCAGTAATTAGCCAGTAAATAACGCCAAGCTTAATAAAATAAACATCTGAATAACCTCGATATACAACATAACGTTGACGAGGGGCTCTTGATCCAGGGAAGAGGAGCTCCATCCCTCCCTTACCTCCTTCCTCCTTTTTTTTTCCTTCGGATCAAATGACGCATTTCTCGGAACGTATCCCCGTCGTTAAGCGACGCATGACTGTATAGTGAATAATTTGAGACAATAATCTTAAAATTATCATCAATTATAGAGCCTAAAGCAGATTTTTTTTTGGGGGGGGGGGAGACATAACCTATGTGTCCCTCTATAGTCAATACGGTTTTAGGATTTGTGTTCAACGAGAATGATAATGGTCTAGGTCAACTGCAACGAAGCATTACCCAAGCTGTCTAATTCTAAATTGGTTTAGACTTGAAATATGTAATTAGAACCTGCAACATGTTGACTTTTGGCACTGACGGGAAGATGAACCAGAGCATGATGGCACTCAGACCTGGCTCAGGGTATTATGGCACTCAGACCTGGCTCAGGGCATGGTGGCACTCAGACCTGGCTCAGGGTATTATGGCACTCAGACCTGGTTCAGGGTGTTATAGCACTCAGACCTGGCTCAGGGTATGGTGGCACTCAGGTCTGGCTCAGGGCATCGTGGCATTCAGACCTGGCTCAGGGTATTATGACACTCAGACCTGGTTCAGGGAATTATGACACTCAGACCTGGTTCAGGGTATTATGACACTCAGACCTGGCTCAGGGTATTATGACACTCAGACCTGGCTCAGGGTATTATGGCACTCAGACCTGGCTCAGGGTATTATGGCACTCAGACCTGGCTCAGGGTATTATGACACTCAGACCTGGCTCAGGGTATTATGACACTCAGACTGGCTCAGTGTATTATGACACTCAGACCTGGCTCAGGGTATTATGACACTCAGACCTGGCCCAGGGTATTATGACACTCAGACCTGGTTCAGGGTATTATGACATTCAGACCTGGCTCAGGGTATTATGACACTCAGACCTGGCCCAGGGTATTATGACACTCAGACCTGGCTCAGGGTATTATGACACTCAGACCTGGCTCAGGATATTATGACACTCAGACCTGGCTCAGAGTATTATGGCACTCAGACGTGGCTCAGGATATTATGACACTCAGACCTGGCTCAGGGTATTACGACACTCAGGCCTGGCTCAGGGTATTATGACACTCAGACCTGGCTCAGGGTATTATGACACTTATGACACTCAGACCTGGCTCAGGGTATTATGACACACAGACCTGGCTCAGGGTATTATGACACTCAGACCTGGCTCAGGGTATTATGACACTCAGACCTGGCTCAGGGTATTATGACACTCAGACCTGGCTTAGAATACGGTGCCTCACAATTTTTACCTTTAAAGTCTTTATGTATTCATTAATAGAGTCCATGTTTCAAGTAGAAATCCAATATTCTTCCTTGTAGCCTTATCCCCTTCTCCGATATATATATATATATATATATATATATATATATATATATATATATATATATATATATATATATATATAATATATATATAATATATATATATATATATATATATATATATATATATATATAATATATATATATATCCACCAATTTCCTTATAGTGGATTGCTCCTGACGAAGGACTGGTGACGGTGCGAAAGGCCTTGTTCCACACTATGGCACTAAATGTTTATTAAAATTATTATTATTAGGATTTCTATAATCACTTATAGTGTTTTGATGTCTCTCAGTCAGAGATGACATCACTGCTTCATCTGCACCGAGACGTCAGCCTCTTGCGGTGACATCTCTGGCACTTCACCTCACAGCAGTAGGTGAAGCGGCACCTGCAGTTCTCCTCCACCTGACAACACAAACAAACATCTGTAATTAACTTTGAAGGGAAAAACATAGTGATAATTAAATACTGAAAATCGAAAATGAATTTTTTTATATGTGAAAATTTGAAATTCTGAAAAATTTGAAAAAATGAAAATTTGAAAAAAAAAAAAATGAAAAAATCAGAAAGACTGAAAAACTGAAAATTCTGAAAATTTGAAAAACCGAAAATTTCAAAATCTGAAAAATTGAAAACACTGAAAATTTAAAATTTCTGAAATCTGAAAAACCAAAAACCTGAAATTTTGAAAATCCTAAAAATTTATGTGCCCCCCCCCCAGCCTCTCTTTATACTGTCATCCAAGTACAGGAACCTCCAGCCTCCAGCTGCTAAACAATTAACTGATTTTTCGTGAAAAACGAGTAATGGAGACACCATCGTCCCTGTGTGTACAATACTACATATTGTACAATATTGTACTACATATTGTACAATATTGTACTACATATTGTACAATATTGTACTACATATTGTACAATATTGTACTACATATTGTACAATATTGTACTACATATTGTACAATATTGTACTACATATTGTACAATATTGTACTACATATTGTACAATATTGTACAATATTGTACTACATATTGTACAATATTGTACTACATATTGTACAATATTGTACTACATATTGTACAATATTGTACTACATATTGTACAATATTGTACTACATATTGTACTAAGGAACAAACTATACATATATGTTACACTAAGTTTCATGGATTTAACTTTGTTAAAATTTAAGGGACAGACACTGTGTTATTTGTTTCAACTTCCATATAAAAAAAAACTGTAACCAGGAATTTCTAAACGAGAAAATAATAAAAGTAGATTAAATATTGAAAGTAGATTAAATAACGAGAGTAGAGTAAACTGTCTTTAACCTAAGATATTAAAGAAATATTTTTATTGATCAAAACTCTGAAATTTCAAGGAAGAACATGCAACACCAAAATCTATTTCAAAATCTAGATATCAAAACAAATCCCCGAAAAGGAATCCTCCGGGAAAATATAATTTTCTCAAAATTATTATGACCCACAGTATAATATTTTTTATATTGTTATTATTTTCAAGGGAAAGAGATAAACCCATAAGAGCAATAAAGAGCCTAGTTAATGGGAAGTAGTTAGGAAGAAGTGGTAGACAAGGTCAGACTAGGAGAGTGTCTAGAAGATGTTAGAGCAACTTGGACATGGCGTTAGAGCTTACCTGACGCCATGACTCTACATTTAAGACTCTAAGAATGCTCTCAGAGTTGCTATTTGTCTCTCAAAGTTATATGTCTCTCAGAGTTGCTATTTGTCTCTCAGAGTCGCTATTTGTCTCTCGGAGTTGCTATTTGTCTCTCAAAGTTGCTATTTGTTTCTCATAGCTACTGTTTGTCTCTCAGAGTTGCTATTTGTCTCTCAGAGTTATTTGTTTCTCAGAGTTGTTATTTGTCGTAAGGAAGGCAAGGACTCGTGTTGGGACGTCTAGTCATCTCCTGGAGAGGGAAGGACTCGTGGAATGACTTACGTAGAGCTGGGACTCGTGTAAGTACTAACGAAGTGTTCCTAGGCAGGAAGGAACTCTTGGAAAGGACTTCTAAGGTGCACCTAGCACTTAAGGAACACACTCAGAATATGAAAGAACCCATGTAAGAACCTCAAGAGTGCTCCTGGGAAGAGAAGGACTCGTGTAAAGACTTCCAGAACGCTCCTACAAAGATAAAAAAAAAAAGACTCGTTCAAGGACTTCAAAGAGCGTTCCTGGCTCCTAGGAAGAGAAAGTACTCGTTGAATGAGTGCTGCTAGGACCTACAAAGTGTTCCTCCTGGGTGTATCCACGACCACAGCACATAACGTCACATCCTGCCAGGTCGTAGGACGTCGCGTTGCATATACGACCTCTGGTACCCAGCGATCCTGTCCTCTTGTTAGGGCTGTGTTGGAGAGGTGCAGGTTGAGTAGTGGTGGTAGGTTGAGTAGTGGTGGTGGTAATAGTAGTAGTAGTAGTAGTAGTAATAGTAGTAGTAGTAGTGGTAGTATAGTAGTAGTAGTGGTAGTATAGTAGTAGTAGTGGTAGTAGTAGTAGTGGTAGTAGTAGTGGTAACAGTAGTGGTAGTAATAGCAGTAGAGGTACTAGTAGTGGCACTGTTATTGGCAGTAGTAGTCGTAGTGATAGTAGTAGTAGTGGTAGTAGCAATAGAGGTAGTAGTAGAGGTACTAGTATTAGAAGTAGTGGTATTACTATTATTATTATTATTATTATTAGTAGTAGTAGTAGTAATAGTGGTAGTAATAGTAATAGTGGCAGTAGTAGTAGTGGAGTAGGAAGCTCAATTAAATTATATTAATTAATTTTATTTATTATAATTCACAAAATTTACGCTTAATTATGAAGATTGAGACACTTATGCAGCATATGGGAATCTTTATTCAGGAAACGTTTCGCCACACAGTGGCTTCATCAGTCCAATACAAAGAGGAAGGCGTAAGGAGAGGAGGAGAATGAGGTAATCAGTCCCTCAGCCTGGAGTCGATGTGTTCAGTCCATCAATCTTCTACAAGATTGATGGACTGAACACATCGACTCCAGGCTGAGGGACTGATTACCTCATTCTCCTCCTCTCCTTACGCCTTCCTCTTTGTATTGGACTGATGAAGCCACTGTGTGGCGAAACGTTTCCTGAATAAAGATTCCCATATGCTGCATAAGTGTCTCAATCTTCAACTTGTCGGTTTTTCAAACCATTCATCACACGCTTAATTATAAATAATAAAAAAATAATTTATAACAAAATTTTAATAAAAATAATAATAATAATAATAATAATAATAATAATAATAATAATAATAATAATAACTATTATTATTATTATTATTATTATTAATTTTCTTGTAATTGTAATGTAATTGTATAAGAATTATATTAGAAATAATACTGAATATCTGGTAAAACATAATTACGAGTATAAAAAAAGTGATGACCTTTGACCACGTCCAGAGATACTGACCTATCACCTGACCTGAGATGATCCATACATTACCTAATGACCTGACCTAAGCCACACGTGACCTGTGACCCGACCTGAGCCAGACTTGACCTTTGACCTGGCCCAAAGACACTTGACCTGTTACTTAATCTGACTTTCCCTGACCAGAGATGATCCAGACATGACCTTGTGGCCTGACCTCAACTACATATGACCTTTGACTTGGCCCAGAGACACTTGTCATATGACATGACTTCCCCTAACACGAGATGACCCAGACATGCCACTATGACCTGACCTGAGCTACATGTGACTTTGTCCAGAGACGCTTGTCATATAACATGACTCTTCTTGAGGCGAGATGACCCAGACATGCCCTTATGACCTGACCTTAGCTACATGTGACCTTGTCCAGAGACGCTTGTCATATAACATGACTTCCCCTGACGCGACATGACCTTTTGACCTGACCTCAGCTACATATGACCTTTGACCTGACCTGCAGAAGCTAGGAGAGTCCTCCAGGTAAACGAGGTCCTGCTTTCTCGGTGACCTGACTGAGTCCGCCTCTGGAATGACCGTCTCCCCATCATTACTAGGAATCACCTGGAATTGTAAGAATAAGTAACTGGGAATTGTAGGAATAAATCACTGGGAATTGTAGGAATAAATCCATTGCTCAAGGAACAATGGATTTCAAAGACGAAATATTTTAATTACAGAAATATTTTTTTTTACAGTTTTGGGCAATACCCTAAGATAAAGAGACAGACACACAGACAGACAGAAAGGCAGACAACAGAGAGGCACATAGACAGGAACACAGTTACACAGGTACACGGACAGACATAAACAGGCATATAGAGAAAGACACACAGATAGACACAAACAGGCACACAGACAGACACACAGACATGAACACAGACAGGTACACAGACAGATAAAGGCAGGCACACAGACAGACATATATAGACAGGTACACAGACTCACAAATACAGAGAGAGAGAGAGAGAGAGAGAGAGAGAGAGGAACACAGACCTTGATGGCAGCGTTGAATCTCTCCTTGAGGTGACGTCCTACGCTCCTGAAGGTGGGTATCCTCCTCCAGCAGGTCCTGTGAGTACACGACCCTGAGAGTCCGTGACATTTGCAGTGTGGCACCAGGTGGTTCTTCACTGCCTGCGGTGCCAAGATGCACACCGTGTAAGTGGTTAAACGTACAAGTGCACTCTCAGTAGCCAGTGCTCGTGGAAGTATAATATACGCACACGTTTTAGAACCGTGTGCGGATTTTTAAGGTAATCATGTACGTATTATGAAATAATGTGTACGTTAAATGGTATATCTTATTTTGGCTGGCTTTCTATCTTACAATATCTAATATCTGTTATCTTTGTCTTACATTATCTAAGATCTGTTATCTTTCTATCTTACATTATCTAGGAGCTATCTTGATTATCATTCTATCCCTTTTTACCTTGTGTAATGACAACTATCTTCACTGTCTTACATCATGTAATAATAACTATCTTCACTATCTTACATCAAGTAATGACAACTATCTTCACTATCTTACATCATGTAATAATAACTATCTTTCTATGTTACATCAAGTAATGACAACCATCTTCACTATCTTACATCATGTAATAATAACTATCTTTCTATGTTACATCAAGTAATGACAACCATCTTCACTATCTTACATCATGTAATAATAACTATCTTTCTATGTTACATCAAGTAATGACAACCATCTTCACTATCTTACATCATGTAATAATAACTATCTTTCTATGTTACATCAAGTAATGACAACCATCTTCACTATCTTACATCATGTAATAATAACTATCTTTCTATGTTACATCAAGTAATGACAACTATCTTCACTATCTTACATCATGTAATAATAACTATCTTCACTATCTATCTTACATCAAGTAATGACAACTATCTTCACTATCTTACATCATGTAATAATAACTATCTTTCTATGTTACATCAAGTAATGACAACCATCTTCACTATCTTACATCATGTAAAGACAACTATCTTCACTATCTTTCTATGTTACATCATGTAGAAGCTGCTATCTTTGCCATCTCACATCATCTAAGACCTGCTATCTCGCTGCCCCGTGTTGCACATTTGCATAAACGAAATAAATGGGTTGAATAACAGGACTAGTCTTTCTCACACTCAAATTATCCACTCCCTGTATCAGGGATACTTGAATCCCTGTATCATAGCCGCACGAATCTTTATATCAAGGATACATGAATCTCTGTATCAGGGATACTTGAATCCCTGTATCATAGCCGCTCGAATCTTTATATCAAGGATACATGAATCTCTGTATCAGGGATACTTGAATCTCTGTATTTGGGATATATGAATCTCCGTATCAGGAGTACATGAATCCCAGTATCAGGTATTAACATATTCTTGACTAGTAGTGAAGAGGTGACATACAGCCTTAATGACTCCCGTGTAGTCGATAGCCTTTAAACTTAATTAACCAAACAGGTGTGGAGGTACCTGGGACCAGGTGAAAACCACCTGCTATTAAACGAGAGTTTAACTGCCAGTCAGGTGAAGGTGGCTGAGCCACCACCAGCGCTCTTAATGAGCAGATACAAGAGTTAAGAGCTTATAAAACATGCTTCTGGAGCGCTTTAGCAAACACAGGAGTTTTAGTGGTCCTTTTGTTACTCTGGGAGGGATGGGTGCTTGAGGGAGATTGCTGTTGTTGGTGGTGGTTGTGGTAGTGGTGGTCCTTTTGTTACTCTGGGAGGGATTGGTGCTTGAGGGAGATTGCTGTTGTTGTTGGTGGTTGTGGTAGTGGTGGTGCTTTTGTTACTCTGGGAGGGATTGGTGCTTGAGAGAGATTGCTGTTGTTGGTGGTGGTTGTGGTAGTGGTGGTGCTTTTGTTACTCTGGGAGGGATTGGTGCTTGAGGGAGATTGCTGTTGTTGTTGGTGGTTGTGGTAGCGGTGGTGCTTTTGTTACTCTGGGAGGGATTGGTGCTTGAGGGAGACTGCTGTTGTTGGTGCTGATGGTTTGGTGGTAGTGGTGGTGCTGCTTTTATCACTCTGGGAGGGATGGGGTGCTTGAGGGAGACTGTTGTTGTTGGTGATACTTCTGGTGTTGGTGATGGTGGTGCTGGTGGTAGACAGTGGTGACACTGGAGGTAGTGATTGTCAGCTCGATAGATCGTAAGTGCTACCTCGGGAACTGCTTATTTTATGAGAGAGAGAGAGAGAGAGAGAGAGAATATTTCGTTAAGTGATTTAGGGAGCTGACCGACAAGTCAAGTTTATTACCTAGTCTAGGTTGACCAGACCAGGTACGACAAGGGCTGTCTCGCTTACCATCTATTTTACTGTATCCTTCTGCTGACAACTGGCTGCATTGCGTTGTACTCGATATTATTAAATCTCTATTCCCACTCTTTCGTTTATTCCGTGTCCTCTCGTTCGCTGATTTTGAATGCTCAAGCAACTCCTGTTGAAATCTTAATCTAAAATTCTCTGTTTTTTTTTTTTTACACAGGGTTTTACTAGGTTAAGTTAAGAGTTCCTAACTTTATTTACAAGTCAAAAAGCTATTACGTACTTACCTCTCTCTCTCTCTCTCTCTCTCTCTCTCTCTCTCTCTCTCTCTCTCTCTCTCTCTCTCTCTCTCTACTCACTTCCCTCACCTCCGATTATAACAACACCAACTTGAGCATGATATCACCATGCAGCAAGAACTGGTCTGTGAACAAGGTACACAGGTCCCCCAGACACCATCTTATGGTGGAGATAGTGAGAATGTCTTGTGAGACGTAGGCAGAAGTGAGACAGTAAGGGCATGAATGAGGCCAAGAATGAGTGTATATATTAAGAGTGAATGATTCTGGCGATCAATGTTTTATTATAATAATTATAATAAATTACAATAATTATTATTATCACCATTAATCACATTATAATTTTGTTATAATTTTTTATCAAAATTTATCACAGTAGGATATTTATTTATAGTGATTAAAAAAAAGGTTGGTGGACTGATTAATGATATTTAAATCTTACCTACTACACGAGGGTCATTAAGACTGCATATCACCTATTTACCATCAGTCAGGAACACTTTACTCCCTAAGATAGGAATTAAACTCTCAGTGTGTACACTGGAAGATCGTGTGTGACCTTATTAAGTTCTTGAGATGACCTTCACCGGGGTTAATGACCTTGTTCACGGACAGGTATTAACGTATACAAGGGATAAGGACACGATGGTGAGTTCCACAAGTATCGTGTTAATGTGGCGAAAAATGTCAAATTTGCTGTACTTAAGAGTTGGTATAGCCATCTAGTTTGTGCAATCATGTACTTTGAGTGGTTATTTAGTTTGTGTATTCGTCTAGTTTGTATTTTGTGATGGGTCGAGTGTTAGCTCCTGGTCTCGTCGAGTGTAACAAGAGAATGGGTCGAGTGTTAGCTCCTGGTCTCGTCGAGTGTAACAAGAGAATGGGTCGAGTGTTAGCTCCTGGTCTCGTCGAGTGTAACAAGAGAATGGGTCGAGTGTTAGCTCCTGGTCTCGTCGAGTGTAACAAGAGAATGGGTTGAGTGTTAGCTCCTGGTCTCGTCGAGTGTAACAAGAGAATGGGTTGAGTGTTAGCTCCTGGTCTCGTCGAGTGTAACAAGAGAATGGGTCGAGTGCTAGCTCCTGGTCTCGTCGAGTGTAACAAGAGAATGGGTTGAGTGTTAGCTCCTGGTCTCGTCGAGTGTAACAAGAGAATGGGTCGAGTGCTAGCTCCTGGTCTCGTCGAGTGTAACAAGAGATTTATTGTTATTCCTATTTATGTATTATTTTTTGAGGCTGTGTATTTGTGTTCGTCTTCACCTCTGTCCTCATCCACCTCCTTCAACCAGCTGTAATCCACCTCCTTCAACCAGCTGTAATCCACCTCCTTCAACCAGCTGTCAACCATCTTCTTCAACCAGTTCTCGTCCATCTTCAACACTGTGTCCTCACCTGACCTGAGCTCAGTCAATGGTGTAGTGCCGATCGAAATATTATTCTCGTTCTATTTTCACTTTGGTGTGATAACTGTGACTTTCTTCCAGCCACGGTGTTGTGACTGACAGCCACCACGACCACGGTACTATGTCTTCCAGCCACGGTGTTGTGGCTGTCTTCCAGCCACGGTATTGTGACTGACAGCCACCACGACCACGGTACTATGTCTTCCAGCCACGGTGTTGTGGCTGTCTTCCAGCCACGGTATTGTGACTGACAGCCACCACGACCACGGTACTATGTCTTCCAGCCACGGTGTTGTGGCTGTCTTCCAGCCACGGTGTTGTGACTGACAGCCACCACGACCACGGTACTATGTCTTCCAGCCACGGTGTTGTGGCTGTCTTCCAGCCACGGTATTGTGACTGACAGCCACCACGACCACGGTACTATGTCTTCCAGCCACGGTGTTGTGGCTGTCTTCCAGCCACGGTATTGTGACTGACAGCCACCACGACCACGGTACTATGTCTTCCAGCCACGGTGTTGTGGCTGTCTTCCAGCCACGGTATTGTGACTGACAGCCACCACGACCACGGTACTATGTCTTCCAGCCACGGTGTTGTGGCTGTCTTCCAGCCACGGTATTGTGACTGACAGCCACCACGACCACGGTACTATGTCTTCCAGCCACGGTGTTGTGGCTGTCTTCCAGCCACGGTGTTGTGACTGACAGCCACCACGACCACGGTACTATGTCTTCCAGCCACGGTGTTGTGGCTGTCTTCCAGCCACGGTATTGTGACTGACAGCCACCACGACCACGGTACTATGTCTTCCAGCCACGGTGTTGTGGCTGTCTTCCAGCCACGGTATTGTGACTGACAGCCACCACGACCACGGTACTATGTCTTCCAGCCAGGGTGTTGTGGCTGTCTTCCAGCCACGGTGTTGTGACTGACAGCCACCACGACCACGGTACTATGTCTTCCAGCCACGGTGTTGTGGCTGTCTTCCAGCCACGGTATTGTGACTGACAGCCACCACGACCACGGTACTATGTCTTCCAGCCACGGTGTTGTGGCTGTCTTCCAGCCACGGTATTGTGACTGACAGCCACCACAACCACGGTACTATGTCTTCCAGCCACGGTGTTGCGGCTGTCTTCCAGCCACGGTATTGTGACTGACAGCCACCACGACCACGGTACTATGTCTTCCAGCCACGGTGTTGTGGCTGTCTTCCAGCCACGGTGTTGTGGCTGTCTTCCCGCCACGGTGTTGTGACTGTCTTCCCGCCACGGTATTGTGACTGACAGCCACCACAACCACGGTACTATGACTGTCTTCCAGCCACGGTGTTGTGGCTGTCTTCCCGCCACGGTGTTGTGACTGTCTTCCAGCCACGGTATTGTGACTGACAGCCACCACGACCACGGTACTATGTCTGTCTTCCAGCCACGGTGTTGTGGCTGTCTTCCAGCCACGGTGTTGTGGCTGTCTTCCAGCCACGGTGTTGTGGCTGTCTTCCCGCCACGGTGTTGTGACTGTCTTTCAGCCACGGTATTGTGACTGACAGCCACCACAACCACGGTACTATGACTGTCTTCCAGCCACGGTGTTGTGGCTGTCTTCCAGCCATGGTGTTGTGGCTGTCTTCCAGCCACGGTGTTGTGACTGTCTTCCAGCCACGGTATTGTGACTGACAGCCACCACGACCACGGTACTATGTCTGTCTTCCAGCCACGGTGTTGTGGCTGTCTTCCAGCCACGGTATTGTGACTGACAGCCACCACGACCACGGTACTATGTCTTCCAGCCACGGTGTTGTGGCTGTCTTCCAGCCACGGTGTTGTGGCTGTCTTCCCGCCACGGTGTTGTGACTGTCTTTCAGCCACGGTATTGTGACTGACAGCCACCACAACCACGGTACTATGACTGTCTTCCAGCCACGGTGTTGTGGCTGTCTTCCACCCACGGTGTTGTGGCTGTCTTCCAGCCACGGTGTTGTGACTGTCTTCCAGCCACGGTATTGTGACTGACAGCCACCACGACCACGGTACTATGTCTGTCTTCCAGCCACGGTGTTGTGGCTGTCTTCCAGCCACGGTGTTGTGGCTGTCTTCCAGCCACGGTATTGTGACTGACAGCCACCACGACCACGGTACTATGTCTTCCAGCCACGGTGTTGTGGCTGTCTTCCAGCCACGGTGTTGTGGCTGTCTTCCCGCCACGGTGTTGTGACTGTCTTCCAGCCACGGTATTGTGACTGACAGCCACCACAACCACGGTACTATGACTGTCTTTCAGCCACGGTGTTGTGGCTGTCTTCCAGCCACGGTGTTGTGGCTGTCTTCCCGCCACGGTGTTGTGACTGTCTTCCCGCCACGACACTGTGACTGACAGCCACCACAACCACGGTACTATGTCTTCCAGCCACGGTGTTGTGGCTGTCTTCCAGCCACGGTGTTGTGGCTGTCTTCCAGCCACGGTGTTGTGGCTGTCTTCCAGCCATGGTGTTGTGGCTGTCTTCCAGCCACGGTGTTGTGGGTGTCTTCCAGCCACGGTGTTGTGGCTGTCTTCCAGCCATGGTGTTGTGAATGTCTTCCCGCCACGGTGTTGTGGCTGTCTTCCAGCCACGGTGTTGTGGCTGTCTTCCAGCCATGGTGTTGTGAATGTCTTCCCGCCACGGTCTTGTGGCTGTCTTCCAGCCACGGTGTTGTGGCTGTCTTCCAGCCATGGTGTTGTGGCTGTCTTCCAGCCACGGTGTTGTGGCTGTCTTCCAGCCACGGTCTTGTGGCTGTCTTCCAGCCATGGTGTTGTGACTGTCTTCCAGCCATGGTGTTGTGGCTGTCTTCCAGCCACGGTGTTGTGGCTGTCTTCCAGCCATGGTGTTGTGACTGTCTTCCCGCCACGGCACTGTGACCAACAGCCACCACAACCTGGTCTGGGACCGGGCCAAAGGGGTCGTTGGCCCCCTTGAAGTGACTACAGGTAACACTCAAGTAACCTGTGACTACAGGATGAAACGTCGACAGGTATGAAACGTCGACAGATACGAAAAACCAAGGCGACCAAGCCTGTACATTGAGCAACATTTCGATCTAAGGAGCGAAATGATGAGCAAATGAAGTCGTCCTCTGCACGCTGCTCTGTCCGAATGACTACCAACACATTTCGCCAGCAGAAATATCGAAACATTGTACCTTCACTAGCAGGAAGTACACAATAATAGACTTTAGTATAACTCAAGATTACTATTCTTTAAGATAACTGTTAGACAAGATAACTATTTCAAGATAACTGTTAGACAAGATAACTGTTAGACAGGATAACTGTATTTCAAGATAAATGTTAGACAAGATATCAGTATTTCAAGATAACTGTATTTCAAGACAACTGTCAGACAAGATAACTGTATTTCAAGACAACTGTCAGACAAGATAACTGTATTTCAAGACAACTGTCAGACAAGATAACTGTATTTCAAGATAACTGTCAGACAAGATAACTGTATTTCAAGATAACTGTCAGACAAGATAACTGTATTTCAAGATAACTGTCAGACAAGATAACTGTATTTCAAGATAACTGTCAGACAAGATAACTGTATTTCAAGATAACTGTCAACAAGATAACTGTATTTCAAGATAACTGTCAGACAAGATAACTGTATTTCAAGATAACTGTCAGACAAGATAACTGTATTTCAAGATAAATGTTAGACAAGATATCAGTATTTCAAGATAACTGTCAGACAAGATAACTGTATTTCAAGACAACTGTCAGACAAGATAATTGTATTTCAAGACAACTGTCAGACAAGATAACTGTATTTCAAGACAACTGTCAGACAAGATAACTGTCAGACAAGATAACTGTCAGACAAGATAACTGTTAGACAAGATAATTGAACTGCAAGACAACCGAATTGCAAAATAAATGTTCCTGAAGATAACTGCATTGCAAGATAACTGTTCCTCAAAATAATTACTACTACTATTACCACTGCTACTAGCATTACTACTACTATTACCACAAATACTACTATCACTATCATTACCACTACTATTATTACTATTACTACTACTACTACTACCACCGCTACCACCACTATTATCTATTATCACTACTACTACTACCACTATTAATACTAATACTACCACTACTATTACTACTAATACCACTACCATTACTACCACTACTACTATTGCCACTAATACCACCACTACTACTATTACCACTAGTATCACTACTATTATTACCACTACTACTGCTATTACTACTACTGATCACTTGACTCACCCTCCTGCCAGCCTCATTGTTCCAGAGCATGACAATGCTCTTGATATCCCTGCTCTCCTGTCCTCTCAGGTACCTCCAGTCCATGAAGTCCCTGGCCACACGGTGACCATACGCTACGTTGTCATCACAGCCACTCCAATCCCACTCTTTCCCATTCCCAGCCATTTCCGCCCCAGCGGCCATCATCCCCATTCCCGAGACTGATCCCGGTCCAGGGGAGACATCGTTTACCAGCTGCAGTCTTGCTGCTCGCGTTACAAAGGAGTTCTGTGGGTGCTGCAGGCCTCCCTGCTGTGCCTCTCTGATCCCTCTGTTGCGCCGCGATGTTGAGTGCCTCCCTCGCCCTTCTTCTGTACTTCTTCCTTCCGTTCTCTCTCTTCTCTGTTGTTTGTGTCTCTTAGAGATTTCGTTGTTCTTCCTTCTCTCCCCGTGGACCTTCTTTCTTCTTCTTTCTGAAAAAAAGAGAAAGACAAGATAAATGAATAACAGGAAACTACTGGAGAGACGGGTGTAAATATCCTGGAGATGGATGTAAATATCCTGGAGATGGGTGTAAATATCCTGGAGATGGGTGTAAATATCCTGGAGATGGGTGTAAATATCCTGAAGATGGGTGTAAATATCCTGGAGATGGGAGTAAATATCCTGGAGATGGGTGTAAATATCCTGGAGATGGGTGTAAATATCCTGGAGATGGGTGTAAATATCCTGGAGATGGATGTAAATATCCTGGAGATGGATGTAAATATCCTGGAGATGGGTGTAAATATCCTGGAGATGGGTGTAAATATCCTGGAGATGGGTGTAAATATCCTGGAGAAGGGTGTAAATATCCTGGAGATGGGTGTAAATATCTTGGAGATGGGTGTAAATATCCTGGAGATGGGTGTAAATATCCTGGAGATGGGTGTAAATATCCTGGAGATGGGTGTAAATATCCTGGAGATGGGTGTAAATATCCTGAAGATGGGTGTAAATATCCTGGAGATGGGTGTAAATATCCTGGAGATGAGTGTAAATATCCTGGAGATGGGTGTAAATATCCTGGAGATGGATGTAAATATCCTGGAGATGGGTGTAAATATCCTAGAGATGGGTGTAAATATCCTGGAGATGGGTGTAAATATCCTGGAGATGGGTATAAATATCCTGGAGAGGGATGTAAATATTCTGAGGATAGTGTTGGGGAGGCTAGTAGTTGAGGAAGGTAGTGTCAGGGAAAGGTGTTGTTGGGGTGGTGGTAGTGGTGATTGTGGTTGTTGGTATGATGGTGGTGGTGGTGATGGTGATGGTGATGGTGATGGTGGTGGTGGTGATGGTGGTAGTGGTGGTGGTAGTGGTGATGGTATGGTAGTGGTGGGTGAGTGATGATGGTATGCTAGTGGTGGGTGAGTGATGATGGTAAGCTAGTGGTGGGTGACTGGTGATGGTATGGTAGTGGTGGGTGAGTGGTGACGGTATGGTAGTGAGTGGTGATGGTATGGTAGTGGTGGGTGAATGGTGATGGTATGGTAGTGGTGGGTGAGTGGTGATGGTATGGTAGTGGTGGGTTAGTGGTGATGGTATGGTAGTGGTGGGTGAGTGGTGATGGTATGGTAGTGGTGGTGATGGTGGTGGTAGTGGTAGTGGTGGTGATGGTGGTGGTAGTGTTGAGCGGTGATGTTATGGTATGGTAGTGGTGGGTGAGTGGTGATGGTATAGTAGTCGTGGGTGAGTGGTAATGGTATGGTAGTGGTGGGTGAGTGGTGATGGTATGGTAGTGGAGGGCCTACGGGTGAGGATGTTTGAAATCCTGCTATGGTCAGCAGCAATATGAATACAGTCAATGATTCACACAGACGGTTGGTAGTGAGTCATCTACTGGTACACTGGTTACTGGTAACTGGTTACTAGGAACTGGTACTACTACTGAGAGTGGTGGGTGAGTGGTGATGGTATGGTAGTGGCGGGTTAGTGGTGATGGTATGGTAGTGGTGGGTGAGTGGTGATGGTATGGTAGTGGTGGGTGAGTGGTGATGGTATGGTAGTGGTGGGTGAGTGGTGATGGTATGGTAGTGGTGGGTGAGTGGTGATGGTATGGTAGTGGTGGGTGAGTGGTGATGGTATGGTAGTGGTGGGTGAGTGGTGATGGTATGGTAGTGGTGGGTGAGTGGTGATGGTATGGTAGTGGTGGTGATAGTGGTGGTAGTGATGGTGATGGTGGTGGTAGTGGTGAGCGGTGATGTTATGGTGGTGGTAGTGGTGGGTGAGTGATGGTATGGTAGTGGTGGGTGAGTGGTGATGGTATAGTAGTCGTGGGTGAGTGGTAATGGTATGGTAGTGGTGGGTGAGTGGTGATGGTATGGTAGTGGTGGGTGAGTGGTGATGGTATGGTAGTGGTGGGTGAGTGGTGATGGTATGGTAGTGGTGGGTGAGTGGTAATGGTATGGTAGTGGTGGGTGAGTGGTGATGGTATAGTAGTCGTGGATGAGTGGTGATGGTATAGTAGTCGTGGATGAGTGGTAATGGTATGGTAGTGGTGGGTGAGTGGTGATGGTATGGTAGTGGTGGGTGAGTGATGATGGTATGGTAGTGGTGGGTGAGTGGTGATGGTATAGTAGTCGTGGATGAGTGGTAATGGTATGGTAGTGGTGGGTGAGTGGTGATGGTATGGTAGTGGTGGGTGAGTGATGATGGTATGGTAGTGGTGGGTGAGTGGTGATGGTATGGTAGTGGTGGGTGAGTGGTGATGGCATGGTAGTGGTAGTGGTGGTGATGGTGGTACTGAGATATAGCCTCACCAGAAGACACGGTGTTGAGAGCTGAGTCAGTACAGGAACACTGCACCAGGTCACCCCTGGAACAAGCAGCTGTCACCTCGTGGCTGACACCAGCTGACACGATGGCGTTCAAGAAGGCAGTCTCTGGTGTGTCTGAAACAAGCACACTTTTCACCTTCAAAATACTTACACGTATTCACCTTCAAAAATCTACACGTGTTCACCTTCAAAACCATACATGTTCACCTCCAAAACCACACGTGTTCACCTCCAAAACCACCCGTGTTCACCTCCAAAACCACACGTGTTCCACTCAGTCAACGAGTTCGTCTCTCCCCCACCCTCCCCCCTCCCCCCACAAAAAAATAGGAAAAACATAAATTTTAAAATTCCATTTCATTCCACTGAAAATTCATTCTTTAACAAAACTGGTTTTGATTAGACCCCCTGAGATGGTTTTTAAATTTCCAGTAACCAGAGTTGCCATTTCTTGGCCCCAGTTGGTTTTTTCTGTTTGATACTCTGTTGTTGTTGTTGTGCCCAGAAGTACTGACAATGTAAACAGAAGGTAACTAGAACTAGAAGATAACTAGAACTAGAAGATAACTAGAACTAGAAGATAACTAAAAGATAACTAGAACTAGAAGGTAACTAGAACTAGAAGATAACTAGAAGATAACCAGAACTAGAAGGTAACTAGAACTAGACGATAACTAGAACTAGACGATAACTAGAACTAGAAGGTAACTAGAACTAGAAGGTAACTAGAACTAGAAGATAACTAGAAGATAACTAGAACTAGAAGGTAACTAGAACTAGACGATAACTAGAACTAGACGATAACTAGAACTAGAAGGTAACTAGAAGATAACTAGAACTAGAAGGTAACTAGAACTAGAAGATAACTAGAACTAGAAGATAACTAGAAGATAACTAGAACTAGAAGATAACTAGAACTAGAAGATAACTAGAACTAGATGATAACTAGAACTAGATGATAACTAGAAATAGATGATAACTAGAAGATAACTAGAACTAGAAGATAACTAGAACTAGAAGATAACTAGAACTAGAAGGTAACTAGAACTAGAAGGTAACTAGAACTAGAAGATAACTAGAACTAGAAGGTAACTAGAACTAGACGATAACTAGAACTAGACGATAACTAGAACTAGAAGGTAACTAGAACTAGAAGGTAACTAGAACTAGAAGATAACTAGAAGATAACTAGAACTAGAAGGTAACTAGAACTAGAAGATAACTAGAAGATAACTAGAACTAGAAGGTAACTAGAACTAGACGATAACTAGAACTAGACGATAACTAGAACTAGACGATAACTAGAACTAGAAGGTAACTAGAACTAGACGATAACTAGAACTAGACGATAACTAGAACTAGACGATAACTAGAACTAGAAGGTAACTAGAAGATAACTAGAAGATAACTAGAACTAGAAGATAACTAGAACTAGAAGATAACTAGAACTAGATGATAACTAGAACTAGATGATAACTAGAACTAGAAGATAACTAGAACTAGAAGATAACTAGAACTAGAAGATAACTAGAACTAGAAGATAACTAGAACTAGAAGGTAACTAGAACTAGAAGATAACTAGAACTAAAAGATAACTAGAACTAGAAGATAACTAGAACTAGAAGGTAACTAGAACTAGAAGATAACTAGAAGATAACTAGAACTAGAAGGTAACTAGAACTAGAAGATAACTAGAACTAGAAGGTAACTAGAACTAGAAGATAACTAGAACTAGAAGGTAACTAGAACTAGAAGGTAACTAGAACTAGAAGATAACTAGAACTAGATGATAACTAGAACTAGATGATAACTAGAACTAGATGATAACTAGAACTAGAAGATAACTAGAACTAGAAGGTAACTAGAACTAGAAGGTAACTAGAACTAGAAGGTAACTAGAGCTAGAAGATAACTAGAAGATGACTAGAACTAGAAGGTAACTAGAAGATAACTAGAACTAGATGATAACTAGAACTAGAACATAACTAGAACTAGAAAAAACTAGAAGGTAGCTAGAACTAGAAGATAACTAGAATTATAAAATAACTAGAACTAGAAGCTAACTAGAACTAGAAGATAACTAAAAGATCACTAGAACTAGAAGTTAACTAAACTAGAAGATAACTAGAAGATTCTAGAAGGTTACTGGATGGTAACTTAGTACATAACTAGAAGGCAATTAAAAGGAATACAGAAGATAACTAGGAAATTAAAATATAATTAGAAGGTAATTACATTTCCCTGGTTCCAAACCGAACCTAATTACTTCCCGGTCCTCCCATGAAAGAAATCAGGACATAATCAAATGTAATTATCACGTAATCAAAACATAATTAGAACAAATCATAATCAGAACGCAATTAGAACGTTAGGACGTTATTAGAACGTAAAAAAATACGTAAATTATCATATTTTTAATCAAAACTGCTGCTACAACTGCATTTTATGGGAACAGTAAGGCAAGTCACATTTTTTTCCAAGCAGCATATGCAAATTTTAGCTAAAAATTGAGGTCTGTTAGATAATGCTTAAAACTGTCTCAATCCTCGACATATTCAATATAATAACGTTTTAACACATTTTCATATTTAAAAAAAATCAGCTGAAAATTCCATAAAAATATTAGTACATTAGGACGTAATTAGAACTTAAGGACGCAATTAGTACGTTAGGACGTAATTAGTACGTAATTAGAACATTAGGGCGTAATTAGAACATGAATAGAACTTTAAGACGTAATGAGAACGTAATTAGTACGTTAGAATGAAATTAGAATGTTAGGACGTAATCAGAACGTAAATAGAACAAAACACCGTGATGAGAACGTAATTGGTACGTTAGGGCGTAATTAGAACGTTAGGTCGTAATGAGAACGTAATTAGTACGTTAGGACGTAATTAAATCCGTAAGACGTACTGAGAACATAATTTGTACGTTAGGACATAATTAGAACATTAAGACATAATCAGAAAATAGTAAGTTAGAACGTAATTACATTAACATAGGACGTTAAGACGTAATGAGAACGTAATCAGAACATAATTAGTACATTAAGACGTAATTAGAACGTAAATAGAAGGTTAGGAGGTAATTAGAAAGTTAGGGGGTAATCAGAAGGTTAGGAGGTAGTCAGAAGGTAAGTGGCAGGTAGTTACCCCTGGTGAGTATTCTCTTGAGGGAGCGACGGTTGTCAGAACAGTTCCAGTGGTGGTGAGCGAACTGGTACTGGCACTCCCGCAGCGCCAGCTGTGCTCCCTGCAGGATCAGCAGAAAGACTTCGTGTTGCTTGCGGCAGATGATACTCTGCGGGTCCTTGGCCAGCCTGCGGCCTCTCTTGCGGCATATGCGGGAGTGGTCCATGATGGCCCGGCTCCCCAGGGACCTGTGGTGAGGGACAGAGTGTGAGTTAGTAGGTCTCAGACCAGTTCCCCGGGGGACCTAATGTGAGGGAGTAAATAGGTCTCAGACTGTCTCCCCAGGGACCTAATGCGAGGGAGGCAGTAAACAGGTCTCAGACCGTCTCTCAAGAGACCTGTTTTGTGGGGGAGAGAGTTAACCTAACCGAACTTACCGTAACAATACCTAACCTAACTTAACCTAAGGCAGGTCAACCATCACTGTGGGAAGGCAGGTCAACAATCACTGTGGGAAGGCAGGTCAGCCATCACTGTGGGAAGGCAGGTCAACCCATCACTGTGGGAAGGCAGGTCAGCCCATCACTGTGGGAAGGCAGGTCAACCATCACTGTGGGAAGGCAGGTCAACCATCACTGTGGGAAGGCAGGTCAACCCATCACTGTGGGAAGGCAGGTCAACCCATCACTGTGGGAAGGCAGGTCAACCCATCATTGTGGGAAGGCAGGTCAACCCATCACTGTGGGAAGGCAGGTCAACCACCACTGTGGGAAGGCAGGTCAACCACCACTGTGGGAAGGCAGGTCAACCATCACTGTGGGAAGGCAGGTCAACCATCACTGTGGGAAGGCAGGTCAACCATCACTGTGGGAAGGCAGGTCAACCCATCACTGTGGGAAGGCAGGTCAACCCATCACTATGGGAAGGCAGGTCAACCCATCACTGTGGGAAGGCAGGTCAGCCCATCACTGTGGGAAGGAAGGTCAACCATCACTGTGGGAAGGCAGGTCAACCATCACTGTGGGAAGGCAGGTCAACCCATCACTGTGGAAAGGCAGGTCAACCCATCACTGTGGGAAGGCAGGTCAACCCATCACTGTGGGAAGGCAGGTCAACCATCACTGTGGGAAGGCAGGTCAACCCATCACTGTGGGAAGGCAGGTCAACCATCACTGTGGGAAGGCAGGTCAAACCATCACTGTGGGAAGGCAGGTCAACCCATCACTGTGGGAAGGCTCTGGCAGCGGACGTGAAGAACATTCACATACACCCACAAATCCAAACAATACGCGACTCTAGGAAGACAGTGTTTGGATGAATGATGATGAATGCTTTTTCGTCTTCTGTGGGTCACCCTGCCATGGTGATAGACGGCTGGTGTGTTCAAAAAAAACAAAATGTTGAATCTGGAGAGAACCTGTCAGGTATGCGCCAGTAGGCCTACTGCAGTGTTCCTCTAATGTTCCTAAAAGTGGCTGGTTTTATTTCTAACTGGCCTCTTTTGTGGTCTTCAGTGTCCGGCAGTGTTTATGCGCAGCAGCAGACGCAGACTTTCTACCCACGATGTTACTAGCTATGTTCTGATCTGTGTGTGTGTATGTGTCCATTTCCAACTGCTGCTGCTGAACCTGCCGTTGCTGCTGCTGCTGCTGCTGCTGCTGCTGCTTCTACTGTTGCTGCTGATGCTTCTACCGTGGCTTTTGAGGCTGTTTCTACCGTTGCTGCTACTGTTTCTTCCGTTGCTGCTGCTGTTTCTACCGCTGCTGCTGGTGCTCCTTCTACCGTTGCTGCTGCTTTTTCTACCGTTGTTGCTGCTTCTACCGTTGCTTCTGCTGCTGTTTCTACCGTTACTGCTGCTGCTTCTACCGTTGCTACTGCTGTTTCTCTACCGTTGCTGCTGCTGCTTCTACCGTTGCTGCTGCTGCTTCTACCGTTGCTGCTGCTTCTTCCGTTGCTGCTGCTGCTTCTTCCGTTGCTGCTGCTGCTTCTACCGTTGCTGCTGTTTCTACCGTCATTGCTGCTGTTTCTACCGTTACTGCTGCTGTTTCTACCGTTACTGCTGCTGCTACTACCGTTACTGCTGCTTCTGCCGTTGCTTCTGCTTCTACCGTTGCAGCTGCTGCTGTTGTACGCCTCTTCCGTCCCACGAGTTGTGTTGATGCACATCTCCCAGACACAAGCCACGACGGGTTCGATCCTCCGGCACCACACAAACAAACAAAACTCTTTTACGACCGGCGAGGAAGTCATAAAAATACCATTAATGTGAAAAACGCTAAACCCGCAAGGGCTACACAGCGCCAGTTTGGAACGGGATTATACTGCATCTCATCCATAAAAGGCAACCCTTTACTTCCTTGTATCAAGAAATCTCTCTTAAAGAGAAGGAATTAAAGATATTAAAGAGAAGGGATTAAATAGATTAAAGAGAAGGGATTATGGAGACGGGATTAAAGGGAAGGGATTGAAGGGAACGGGTAGACGGAAAGGGTGCTAGGGGGTCTGCGCCCCCCTGGCTATTCTGCTCACACTCCCTCTTAATAAAAGACCGAGTAAATAAACATAAGAGGATCGGTTAAACACTGTGTTCAATGTCTGTGGTAACACTGTGTGTGTGTGTGTGTGTGTGTGTGTGTGTGTGTGTGTGTGTGTGTGTGTGTGTGTGTGTGTGTGTGTGTGTGTGTGTGTGTGTGTGTGTGTGTGTGTGTGTGTGTGTGTGTACTCACCTAATTGTACTCACCTAATTGTGGTTGCAGGGGTCGATACTCAGCTCCTGGCCCCGCCTCTTCACTGATCGCTACTAGGTCCTCTCTCTCTCTGCTTCCTGAGCTTTATCATACCTCTTCTTAAAACTATGTATGGTTCCTGCCTCCACTACTTCACTTGCTAGGCTGTTCCACTTCCTGACGACTCTATGATTGAAGAAATACTTCCTAACGTCCCTATGACTCGTCTGAGTCTTCAGCTTCCAGTTGTGACCCCTTGTTTCTGTGTCCCCTCTCTGTAACATCCTATCTCTGTCCACCTTGTCTATTCCCCACAGTATCTTGTATGTCGTTATCATGTCTCCCCTGACCCTTCTGTCCTCCAGTGTCGTCAGTCCGATTTCCCTCAACCTTTCCTCGTACGACATTCCCCTGAGCTCTGGGACTAGTCTTGTTGCAAACCTTTGTACTTTCTCTAACTTCTTGACGTGCTTGACCAGGTGTGGGTTCCAGACTGGTGCTGCATACTCCAGTATGGGCCTAACATACACAGTGTACAGTGTATTGAACGATTCCTTATTAAGGTATCGGAACGCTATTCTCAGGTTTGCCAGGTGCCCGTATGCTGCAGCAGTTATTTGGTTGATGTGTGCCTCCGGTAACGTATTCGGTGTTATGGTCACCCCAAGGTCTTTCTCCCTGAGTGAGGTCTGTAGTCTTTGTCCACCTAGCCTATACTCTGTCTGCGGTCTTCTTTGCCCCTTCCCAATCTTCATGACTTTGCATTTGGCAGGGTTGAATTCGAGAAGCCAGTTTCTGGACCACATGCCCAGCCTGTCCAGGTCTCTTTGCAGTCCTGCCTCATCCTCGTCCGATTTAATTCTTTTCATCAACTTCACATCATCTGCGAATAGGGACACTTCAGAGTCTATTCCTTCCATCATGTCGTTCGCATATATCAAAAATAGCACTGGTCCTAGAACTGACCCCTGTGGGACCCCGCTCGTCACAGGTGCCCACTGTGATACCTCTTCTCGTACCATGACTCGTTGTTGCCTCCCTGTCAGGTATTCCCTGATCCATTGCAGTGCCCTCCCTGTTATATGCGCCTGATCTTCCAGCTTCTGCACTAATCTCTTGTGGGGAACTGTGTCAAAGGCCTTCCTGCAGTCTAGGAAAACGCAATCAACCCACCCCTCTCTCTCGTGTCTTACTTCTGTTACCTTGTCATAAAACTCCAGAAGGTTTGTGACACAGGATTTGCCTTCCATGAACCCATGCTGGTTTTCATTTATAATCTTGTTCCGTTTCAAGTGTTCGACCACTCTCCTCCTGATAATCTTCTCCATGACTTTGCACACAATACATGTCAGAGACACAGGTCTGTAGTTTAGTGCCTCATTTCTGTTTCCTTTCTTAAATATGTGTGTGTGTGTGTGTGTGTGTGTGTGTGTGTGTGTGTGTGTGTGTGTGTGTGTGTGTGTGTGTGTACTCACCTAGTTGTACTCACCTAGTTGAGGTTGCGGGGGTCGAGTCCGAGCTCCTGGCCCAGCCTCTTCACTGATCGCTACTAGGTCACTCTCCCTGAGCCGTGAGCTTTATCATACCTCTGCTTAAAGCTATGTATGGATCCTGCCTCCACTACATCGCTTCCCGAACTATTCCACTTACTGACTACTCTGTGGCTGAAGAAATACTTCCTAACATCCCTGTGATTCATCTGTGTCTTCAGCTTCCAACTGTGTCCCCTTGTTACTGTGTCCAATCTCTGGAACATCCTGTCTTTGTCCACCTTGTCAATTCCTCTCAGTATTTTGTATGTCGTTATCATGTCCCCCCTATCTCTCCTGTCCTCCAGTGTCGTCAGGTTGATTTCCCTTAACCTCTCCTCGTAGGACATACCTCTTAGCTCTGGGACTAGTCTTGTTGCAAACCTTTGCACTTTCTCTAGTTTCTTTACGTGCTTGGCTAGGTGTGGGTTCCAAACTGGTGCCGCATACTCCAATATGGACCTAACGTACACGGTGTACAGGGTTCTGAATGATTCTTTATTAAGATGTCGGAATGCTGCTCTGAGGTTTGCTAGGCGCCCATATGCTGCAGTAGTTATTTGGTTGATGTGCGCTTCAGGAGATGTGCCTGGTGTTATACTCACCCCAAGATCTTTTTCCTTGAGTGAGGTTTGTAGTCTCTGGCCCCCTAGACTGTACTCCGTCTGCGGTCTTCTTTGCCCTTCCCCAATCTTCATGACTTTGCACTTGGTGGGATTGAACTCCAGGAGCCAATTGCTGGACCAGGTCTGCAGCCTGTCCAGATCCCTTTGTAGTTCTGCCTGGTCTTCGATCGAGTGAATTCTTCTCATCAACTTCACGTCATCTGCAAACAGGGACACCTCAGAGTCTATTCCTTCCGTCATGTCGTTCACAAATACCAGAAACAGCACTGATCCTAGGACTGACCCCTGTGGGACCCCGCTGGTCACAGGTGTGTGTGTGTGTGTGTGTGTGTGTGTGTGTGTATGTGTGTGTGTGTGTGTGTGTGTG